ACAAAACATGGAAATGGTGATAGATGTTACTGGTTTCTGTAATTATTACACCACACTCTACATGCTAACATTTGTTTTTAGAGTGTCTTGCTTTGCATATAAAAAGTTGACTGTAAAGCAGTGAACCCACTTTTTCAATGGCAGCATCAGGGGTTTGTGCTTGCTCCTTTTCTTTTAGTGTGTATGTGTGGGTGTGTGTCTCTCTCTGTGCATGTGCTCACATGTATATGTGTGTGTATACAAGCATGCATATACACATATGTACATTGAAGACCACAGGGCAGCCTCAAGTGTTATTCTCAGGTGACATCTAGTTTTTATTATTAGTTTTTAGATTTAGAGGTCACTTCTATCACTAGGTTGGGTTGAATTGGCAGGCCAATGGGCCCCAGGAGTCTCTACTCCCCCAGTGCTTGGCTTACAAGTACAAGGCACTGAACTGCACACCTTTATAAGTGTGGGTTCTTATGACTGAAGCCAGGCTCTTCACAATTATAAGGCAAACACAGCTGTCACCCCAGCCCTTACCATATCCCTTAACTGCATCAAGAGACCATACTGAGTGCTTAACTCATGTCATCTAAGATTATTTTCTTTGCTAGAAGGTGAGATTGCCTAATGCTGAACGTTACAGAATGTATATCTACCACTAAACAAAGCATGGCTCTATCTGAAAAATCATGTGATTACATCCTATGTTGTCTCTTGTTTGCTATTTGTGCATCTTTTCAACACATCTATACACTTTTTTGTCAGAGATGATCAGCTGACTCAGGGTTAACTTGGTATTTGTAAATTTTTAAGCACTAAACAGTAGATGGTTATGTCAGGTAGCATGCACATAGATTACTATGTAGACATTACTAATCACACTTGAGGATGCACCATATGTGATATGAAGTATCAAGATGAGAACTCAAGACTACATATGGTGATGGCCTCATATCTGTAGAAATATGCAGAGAAATAATGAACCCTACAGAGAATGAGCTAAACCATTAACTAGTAAGCACATGTTCACATGTTGAAAGTGTGGCTCTAGGTGAGATTTCTTTTTTGACAAACGTTTTCTATAACCAATATGTGCAGTTTTTATAAGAATAGTTATGAAGAGGGTTCCTGATATGGCATTGGATGTAAACAGCTCAGTTACACATGATGACAAAGTTAATTAATTTCAGAGTCAGGCTCTGGGTCAGGAATGTGCCTGTATTGTGAGATTGGAGGAGGGACCCACAAGAGGAGACACAGGGATTTTTATGGAGAACCAGAGCCACAGATGTCAAGATAAGACATGAGCCATTGGCAAATCCCCAGCGATATGGAACAGCATGCTGGACTACCCAATGGAGCTAGAATAAGGTCTCTGCATCTCTGTCTCTCTTCTCTCTTCGTCTCTATCCCTATCGTCTGTCTGTCTCTAGGTCTGCCTGTCTGCCTGTTTGTCTCTGTCTCTCCGAGAGAGAGAGAGAGAGAGAGAGAGAGAGAGAGAGAGAGAGAGAGAGAGAGAGAGAGAGTGTGTGTGTGGTGTGTGAGCATATGGAGACCAGGTTGATGTTGGGTGTCATCTATTGTTCTCCACCTTAGGTTTCAAGCAGCGCCTCCCACTGAAGTCACTGGGTCAGCTAGTGCGCCTGGCCAGTGAGCCCTGAGGTCTGCCTGACTCTGCCTTCAATCACCAGTGCTAGCACATACCTATAACTAGTTTTACTGTGGGCTCTGGGGATCTGAACTCAGACACTTATGCTTGCACAGCAAGTGCTCTACACCCTGGGCCGTCTTGCAGCTCCTAGAATGAGGTTTGAACCAATTTGATCAGAATTTCTAGGGTTAGCATTATCCCAGGTGTCACCCACACTTTCACATAGTCAATACACTTCGATTAATTTGTTATTGGAATTTTAGCTACCCAAATGCCCATCTCAGGAGAAGCTTGGTCCAGAGTTTGAACCCTTGTCAAGTACAATTTCTGTAAGGGTTTTAAGTGATACAGTATGTTGAGGCATGACATTTTCAGTTATCTGTTCTTCTGCCAATATTAAGAAAAGGAAATAAACACAAAGACATTTAATCAGTTACATGGATGGGGTTTATTTCCCCCCATTGGGTAATGTTTTTCAAAAAGTCCTTGGAGAATTTAAGCTGAATTAATATTTGTCAATTCAAAGCCACATAACAGCAGTTTCAGCCTGTTACAAAACCCAGTCTCATGGCAGAGGAGTGAGAAATCAATTTGTCACCAAAATTTCATTTGTTTATTACCCAAACAAATGGGAAAGCAGGGTTGGAGAGTATGTCAATGTGGTTAGTAGTGATTTTTTGGCTCATGCTTTCCCTTAGTAATTGAAGGGTTGGATCAGAGATATTTCTAATTGTAAAAGCCAAATCCATGACTATGGCAATGAAACACATCTGAACTCGCTGCTGTCAATCACTGTATTTAAACGTGGGGTAAGAGAAAGACTCCTCTTTGAACAATAATTCAGTTTCTAATTCATGAGCTCAGAGGATTTTCTTTTTTTTCAGATATGTTTTTTTCCTTTGTATTAGATGATAATCATTTGTATTGGGACCAACAAGGAAAAATGACTACACAGAGGTTATCTGTGTTTAAAAACAGCATTTCTGGATGCATATTTTGGGTTGGACTATTACTGGACAAACTAAATCTCTCTCTCTCTCTCTCTCTCTCTCTCTCTCTCACACACACACACACACACTCAGTAAATTCTGTTGAAGCCTGTACTTTATTTCTTACCTGCTGTGGGGTGTTGGGAAGACATTTAACTTTCCAGATTCTCTCCTAATGATCTATTGCACGGGGATAACAGTACACATCCCAACTCAAGGCCCAGAATTGAGTTAAACAATCACCTCTTTCCTTTCTATGGAGCATTCGCGTGGTGATAAGTGCAATGTATCATCATTGCACTTATCACCGCACGAATTCTATCATAGATAGGCTTGTTTTAAAAGTCTTTATAAACAAACAAGAGATAAACTCCCAAATACAGAGCTCATTCAGTATTGCAGCTGTAGGAAGGCAGTGCCAGCATACAGTGTCGGATCAATATACATTTGTTGGAAAGACAAATTTGCTCTAGGATGATAACACCAGGAGGACAGTGTGATGTAGCCCGTGATTAAGCTTGACTTTTGGGATCTGTAGTTTCAGGCCTCATGTCAAAATTTGTAGTTGTGCAGCCTTGGGTGAGCTAATTTCCACGTTGGGCCTCCACTTCACCATTGTCATAGGTAATAGTGATTAACTTGGTGTGATGAGAATTTAAAAATATTATTTCTGTAAAGTAACTGACTGGGGATCTGTGTTCATTGTCACCTGTTATCTATGAGTTTCTATTTATTTAGTGCTTAAACTCATCTTTCCAAGCTAGGATGGATTAAAAAAATGATGCCACCAAAAAAGGATAATGACAAAAGTTTTCTGTTGCTGGAAACTTTTCTCTGTCCTGCCCGGTCCCACTGAAATGGTTCCTCTCCCACCTTCTGGTCACCATAGCCACCTATAAAGTAAAATAATCATTCAGAAGCTCAATATTAATTATAATTGCTTGGACGATGACTCATGCTTCTTACTGGCTAGCTCTACCTATAAATGAACCCATCTCTAATAATCTTTGTATCGCCATGTGCCCTGTGGCTTACAGGTAATGCTCTGGCATCTTACTAGATTGGCATCTCTTTAATTCTTCTTTCTTTCTCCTTGTCTCTCTGCTTGGACTTCCCTCCTAGCTGTATTCTGCCCTGCCATAGGCCAAAGCTGCTTCTTTATTAACTAATGGTAATAAAACATGTTCTCAGTATACAGGCAGGCATCCCACATTATTTTCTGTCATGTCACACAAAATGCTATCTCTTAGTAATTTAGGTTTTCAGCATGGCTGTGTTTGCATGTTTATATTTGGGGGAGGAGGAGAACACATAGAATGAAGACTTTAACAGCAGGAGTCTTGCTGTCTGAGTGCATGACACTAAGTGCCAATCAGGATGAAGCTAGCCAAGATGAAGTGTTGAGGAATCATTTTTGAACATTACAGGTTTCTGGGACCCAGCATGGGAGTGCTGTTGCTGGTGATACAGGCTAAAGGGGGAAAGATGAGGACCAGTGTCCTGAGCAGGATGCTCAGCCCTAGACGGCCCTTGTTGCTCACGATCCATGGGAACCCCAGTAGACAAAAGAGATTATGGTTACAGACCAAGGAACACAGGGCACTAACATTTATTGGCATTCTCTATTTATTTGACTTGTTAAAAAAGGTTATTGCCTCATTGAGTCTTTAAAACAACCACTGAAATGGACATTATGTTCATTGAATAAAGACCAGAGACTGAGGAAGGTTGAGCCACTCACTAAGGGTCCTTAGCAAGTTCTGTACGGCCAGAAGTAGATCCTCCCTGACTCTGAGGTGTTGGCGGGAGTCCGACCTGGTGGAGAGCAGCTCAGACTTAAGATGGGAGAGGCCCTCATGGAGCAGCAGCAGCAGCAGCAAGATGGAGGTGACCCTGAAGCAACCATCTCTTCAGGGGGCTCTAACATGCTGCTTAGCATCTGGGCTGTGCCCAAAGGGAAGGACAGAGAGGCTGATGGAGAAGCAGTGTCTGGAAATGGCCTCTGACCTGCCCTGGCTTGAGGTGTCCTGTGTATGTGTGTGTGTGTGTCCCCACAAGATAATATAGACAGCCTTCCGAAGTGGTACTTCGTGAATGTCCCTAGCTCTTTATCTGACAAATTGTTTCCAGACTGTCTCCTAAGGTGTGGGTTTTCTGTCCTAGTTTGTGATCTGCAGTGAATGAGGAGGGCCCCAGTCATCATTTTTCCTTATTACCCAACACCTTGTTTTTCACGCTGTTGTTGAGGGAGTGGGTTTTGGTAACCACTGGGTTGGTTTTGAAGTCATCAGGTGCTTTCTCTTATAATGACTGCTTTGTTTTGTTTCATGAGATCCCCCATGTTCACTCTGCACTCCTGCTTCCCACAGAGAGAAGCAAAAGTGGATGCAGGGACTCCAAAGCAAGGCCACCCGCCATCTTCTTGAAAGAGTGGGAGGAGATGGAGATGTGGACCCAGAATTACGCTGTGTTCCAGCCTGTCAGCCCTGGGAAGGTCAAGAGGTGATGCATGAGCCGGGTGGTGGCACACACCTTTAATCCCAGCACTTGGAAGGCAGAGGCAGGCAGATCTCTGTGAGTTCAAGGCCAGTCTGGTCTACAGAGAGAATTCTAGGGCATCCAGGGCTACACAGAGAAACCCTGTCTTAAAAAAATTTGAAAAAGAGAGGGGATTCATGCAGTAGGAGTGATTTCCAAGGGCTGACAAACATCACAAAGATGTCCACTTGGGAGACAATGGTGTGTAAAAACCACATCTAGTAAGCACAGGAAGGGAAGAGACTTACACAAGGGGATGCTCTTATGGTGGCCTCCATGGTCATGTCTGAATAGATTCCCTAGTGTTTACATGAACTATACAGAGGAATCTTCTGCCCTGAAGCTTAGATTAGGAAACAGTTTGGAGGAATACTTAGAGGTATGGGCTCTGCATCTAGTCTACATCCAAACCTGTTTCTAAAGGCTCTGCATTAGAGTCTTAGTAAATCAATCTAAATTCCCAAATTTTAGTTTCTTAAAATAACAATGTTTGGAAGATTGAATAATTATGTAAGTTCTACTTAGGATCCTGGCTGGTGCTTTGGAAGAGCTATTGAGTCCATCTGTGTCAGCGTTATTAGTCTAAAGTAATATCAGTATTATAATAGAGATTTCAAAGCTTTGAAGATTGACTTGTCAAATCAAAGAGTTTCCCTCAGTGCCCATTGTGCATAACCCTTCCTATCTATAAGTAATTAGGGAAGTCAATGACAAATGCTGGCCACTAGATCTCAAGGTGAAAGCCCTAATATCCATAGCAACTCAATTTTGGAAAAGTATTTTGCCCATCAGTCTCAATTTTCTTTCTTCCTCTTTACAAGGAAATTATAGAATAAGATCTAGGTTGGCAAGTGTGAGCTAGCTGCTAACCTCCCTCCTGTGACCAGGGAAGGCATAGATATCAGCACATTTCCCTGCTATTTGTCATTTGGCTCAACACTGCAGGCCAGGATGTCACCATCAGCTGGTTAGTGTTGGCAAAGAAAATAAAACCGATTTCTCACCTGTTTATTATAAGTTCTCTGTGGTCCCTTCTCTTCTTACATGTTTGTGATTTAATGGTTTAGAGGTGAGTGGATGGGTTAGAGGTTGATTTTTGTAGATTCAATATTGTTGCTCTGGGATGTGTTCAGAAAGCCAACGGAGATAAGAGAGCTTTCTTTAAAGTCGGGGTAGTTTAATTTCTCCCTGGAGGGTTTCCCATTTGAATATTGGTAAGAGATCTGATTAAATCATACGGCCATTATGTCAGTTAAACGTGTCTGGAGACCAGAGTTCAGGCCTGAAGCCTGTGTTTCCTGCCCAGTTTTAATGTCACTGGTCACTATAGTCACTGCCTAGGGATCTCTTGTTATGAACCAAATCATTCCAAAGTGTACTGGCTTGAAATGGCTGTGACTTATTTGCAACAAGTCTGTAGGAATCCAGCATTTGGCTGATCTCTGCAGGTCTTGTACAGATGGGTGTGTGCTAAATGAAGAGTCAGCCGGAGGCTTTGCTTGAGGCTTTGCCCAACTGGGATGGCTGCACGGTTGGACCTCTGTTTCTATGCGGTCTTTCAGTCTGGACTTCAGAGTGACCTCAAGACCGATTTTCTCAAAGATGGAGTTGTCATATATGGATACTTACTGAGCTACTAATTGTGAAACACCTATTGACATCCCATTGGCCAAAGCAAATCACATGACCAAATCCAGGCTGTCCGTGGGAGAAGCCTGTAGTAGTGTGTGTGTCAGGAGAAGTGTTTCACTGGGGATTGTCACTACTGTAACCATCTACTTGTGGTTTTTCATTGTCACTTTCTTACCTGGCTATCAAAAAGCACAGCGCGGTAACAATGATTGGGCTTAAGTTTCCACACAAAAAGCCAAATTTCAACAGAAAAATATATCTATGATATGTAATAATAAAGATTATACAGTGTTTTGCACATGACAGATCTCTAATTAGTAAAATCAAATGAATGACTTGATAAATGAATTAAATTGCCAGTAGAGAGTTTGCAATGGCATCTATGAGAATAATATAAACTGAGGTTCTTCACAAAGTGCTTACCATAAAATTACAGTTCTTCATAGACTCTATATACATATAAAGTGTTAAATGTTTGGGGCACAACTTTGATTTTTCTCCACTGTGCTCCAACAGTGTCCAATGCAGTCCCTTATTATAGATTGCTGATGGTTTATACCAAGCCCATTTTGAATTCTTCTTTATTTGATGAAGGACATAGCTACTATGCCTAAATAGATTAAATGACACTTCTTCCTTGCCAAATGTTTATTTCAGTTCAAGACTGCTTTCTGCTACCAGAAGAAAATAAAAAGCAGAAACCAAGTAAATAGGAGCATTGGAGAACGTTCCTCTCCTGCCATGATTCTTAGACTTAAATGGAGGTCATGAGAAGGAAAGGAAACCCAGTCATGGGGAAGTCTGAATGTTCAAAATTCTTTCTCCCTGATAATGCCCAGACTTGCTTTTTGGGAAAACTTGACTGTATTTGGTTTCAGATAGCGACGGCCATTTTGCCTTACAGCTCTGAGATGTTAGATGATACTAAGGATAGATTTTTGAGGTCCTTAAAGCAGATTGCTTTGCAAGAACAGGACTGGTTTCTATCCTGTGAGTTGAAAGCAAATCTATTTAGAATAATACTCTGTGGACCACAGCCTTCCCTGGCTTCTGTTGTGTGTTCTATTGATGTTTTAATCAGATAGTTTTGACCAGAAACAGGCCACCTTGGAACTGGGTTCATGGAAACATGTTTTTTTTATATATATATCTCAGAATTAAAATGGGAATTCAAGCCTATTTGTATAAAAGTATTACTTTGAGGGAATAGTGTGCATTTTGAGGGTTTGGACACCAAATTGTCTTCTGCTGGGGCTTGATTTTTTCCCTCTGGTTTTGGAGCCTTCCCCCTCCCCCCAGCTCTCATTCCTGCCATCCTAGTTTCCAGTGAACTGTTTCTGCTCATCTGAGACTAAAGGGCAGAAACATCAAAGAACGGATGCAGCGTGTGCTGGAGCAAGTCCCGGCCTGTACCTGCTTTGTTTGCTATAAAACAAACCTTAGGCTTGCTGGGTGCTGGTGGTGGTGGTGGTGGTGGGGCAGCGGCACACACCTTTAATCCCAGCACTCAGGAAGCAGAGGCAGGTGGATTTCTGTGAGTTTGAGGCCAGCCTGGCCTAACAGAACAAGTTCCAAGACAGGCTCCAAAGCTACACAGAGAAACCCTGTCTTGAAAAACCAAACCAACAACAAAACCAAACAACAACAACCCCCAAACCAAAACAAACAAAACAACAACAACAACCTCTCCAAACCTTAGACTGGACATTATAAACCACAGAAACATACCCCTCACAATTCTAGAGGCTACAAAGCCTGAGATCATGTGTGAGCAGGCTTGGTATCAGGTGAGGGGTCTTTCTCAGCCTCACATCTAGCACTTTCTAGTGTCTTTGAATAGGAGAAGGGAAAAACAAGCTCTCTCAGACCTCATTTTACAAGACACTAATACCTTTCATTAGAGCTTCTCATAATCTAGTTAAATCATAAAGCTCCCACCCCTTACCACAACCACACTGGAGATCACGTTTCGATCTGTGAAGTTTGGAGACAGACAGTACAGTGACAGCACTGAGCAGGTCCTGAAGGGAGAAGTTTAAAATCTTCTGTTCCTTCCATCAGGGCTCATTTGAGTCCCCTGGCAATGTCTTCTCTCAGGAGTCTTATACACATCGGAATGGACTAAATTTGTTCCCTTTGAATAGCATAAAGCACATCCTGAATCTGAGTCATACCCAGAGAGAAACATTTTGTGGGGATGTCAGGTCTACAGGGATCTGCTTGGGAACCAAGGCTCTCCAGCTTCCACGTTCTTCAGGAATCAAACGCCCACATGTGTGTGATGACAGCAGGGAACCCTTTTGCTGGAAGTACTGATTCTGGTATGTGTGTGTGTGTGTGTGTGTGTGTGTGTGTGTGTGTTTAAATAGGAAAGTCTTTTTTCTTTTTCTGGTTATTTGATATCTTAGATAAAACTAGAGCCAGGATACCCTATCAAAAGGACTAGATATTGTAAACCAGCTGTTGGGCTGTAGGGATAAAAAGATACATGAAATGCAGTTCTTCATCTTCTGATTCTGCCAAATTTGTGAGCAAAATTATGTGTTAGAATCTTTGTATGCCCTTGTCATTAAGTTTGTAAGAAGAAAGCTGACCTACTTGCTAGTCTGAAGTCGAGTGACTAGTTAGGACAGCAGCCTTTTCTCTTCCTGCTTTCACTCACCGTGGTGATCTCTTTGGCTAACATTTTCTGAGCACCCTGAGCTAGGTACTGACTATTTTCTAGGCACCATGCCAGGACTTTCCTCATTTAGTCTCATCACACCCTTGGGCATTTTTCTGTTATGAACGTTTCCAGCTTCCAGATGGGGCATGAGAGGTTAAACTTAACTAGCCTGGGTTCATGTACTGGGTGAGTGATGGACCAGAGTGTCATTCTGTGGACCATCATCTTCATCAGTATCTTTTTTAAAAAAATTAAATTAGAAACAAGCTTGCTTCACATGTCAATCCCAGCTCCCTCTCTCTCTCCTCCTTCCCCCAACTCCCTAATCCCCCACCCAATCCCCACTCTGCTCCCCAAGGAGGGTGAGGCCCTCTATGGGGGAATCTCCAGAGTCTGTCATTTCATCCAGGGCAGGGCCTAGGCTCTCCCCCATGTGTCCAGGCTGAGAGAGCATCCCTTGATGTGGGATGGGCTCCCAAAGTCCATTTGTATGCCAGGAATAAATACTGATCTACTACCCAAGGCTCCATAGATTGCCAAGGCCTCCTTGCTGACACCAAAATTTAGGAGGTCTGGATCAGTCTCATGCTGGCCTCTCACCCATCAGTCTGGGGTTCAAGAGCTCCCCCTTGTTCAGGTCAGCTGTCTCTGTGGGTTTCACCAGCCC